CTGTCTGTAAAGGAGACGCCGTCTCTAGAGGAGACGCTGTCTGTAAAAGAGACGCCGTCTCTAGAGGAGACGCTGTCTGTAAAGGAGACGCTGTCTCTAGAGGAGACGCTGTCTCTAGAGGAGACGCTGTCTGTAAAGGAGACGCCGTCTCTAGAGGAGACGCTGTCTGTAAAGGAGACGCTGTCTCTAGAGGAGACGCTGTCTGTAAAGGAGACGCCGTCTCTAGAGGAGACGTTCTCTCTAGAGGAGACGCCGTCTCTAGAGGAGACACTGTCTGTAAAGGAGACGCTGTCTGTAAAGGAGACGGCGTCTCCACAGGTTTTGTCTCAAAATGAACTGAAGTCCTTCAGCGTCAAAACCCAGACGGACTGTTTGGTCTTCTAAAGTCACACTGAAAAGGTTTTATCCACAAAGTTCACACAGTCAGACGATGTTTCCAGCTTCAGTTTGTCCAAACATTTGATTTGTTTGATTCAGACTCTTTGAGTTGAATGCGTTTGTTAGTGTGATTGTTAAACTTGACAAAGATGAGCTGAGCGCTGGGCGGGTACTTTAAGACCAGCTTCATTTAAACATTTCGTTTGAGTAGCTCAACAACCTGTGTGAGATAAAGTGGTCCAGACCTTAAATACGTGAGAGTTTGTGACATTAACGCTGCTTTTCTGTTAATTCAGTGCAGAGAATAAAGAAACGTCCGTGTCTCTGTGAGTCAAACTAAAGATTTAGAGTTACAGCAGAATGTAACTAAAACAGTGATGTGTAAAAACGGTTTTAGACAGGAAGTTCATGATCCTGGACACCCGGTGGAACGTGTTGGACATGTAGAGGAAGTCAGCTGCAGGCCTGTCCCTCTGAGACTCGTGCAGGTGACTCTAAAAGACGTTCATAAATTCTTCCGAACTGTGGAACGTGTTCCGTTGTTGGAGGATCCCACAGTCTGGATCAGGTTCTTCCAGAGAACCAGCACTCAGCATTCGACACGCTAACAGGAGGAACCTGGGACATGGTGACCCGAACTCCTGCTTTAATGGGTTCAACACTGTGAAGAACACTTGTTGTCCAAAATCCTGACTTTAATCTTTGAATATTTCAGGTTTTAGACAATATTCAGGCCTTTACAAGTGCTGATGGTCTGGAAGAAGAGGAGGGTCCTACGATGCACTCGGATAAAGAGTTTTAGTTTTTATGTTCTGATGTGAGAACCGGTCCACCGGAACAGTTTCAGGCTGAACTCAATGAATCTATTTATGCTAGGGAAGTTCTTTCCTCGTGTTTTTACTGTCCAGACAACTCCACGTATGTAAAGTCAGACGCTCCCGTCTATCAGACTTCATGAGCCATTTGTCTCAAGACCTTTAGGAGCCAGAAAATACAACTGGACCAAAATTAATCCAAACTCTGTCACCAACGAAACAAATTCAAGGTTAGTGTTTGCCTTAAATTTAGGCCGAGCTACGGATCCTTCTCTCTCTGTTTAACAAGATAAAAGAACCAGAATTTAATCCAATCTATAACAAACAAAAACAGGTGCAATAACAACAGTAACAATAATAATAATAATAATAATATTAATAATACTGTGATGTTGATCATTTAAAGCAGCATTAAAGTCAAATCCAAGTCAACGTTCAGAGTTTTTAAAATGTTTTCTTGTTGTGGACCAACAATGACAAATGTAACACTGAATATTTAAAATCTGACATCTTCTCTCTAACAAAAGACCAAAACCCCAACAAGTCACAAAGAGCAGAACACCGACTCATCAGAACCAACCGACCCGTCAGAGGTCCGTCCGCTGTCGGACAAATCTTGGTTTTATCTCCACAAACTGAAGCTTTTCCACCTCAGAATGCTAAAGCAGACGCCAGAGAACCCAGAGTGGTTTACAGCTTATCCTGGGCGTCGCACCTGCAACCTGCTCGGACCAGAACCGAAGACTTGGGTCTGCTCTCGCTGACGGTGTTATGGGCCCAATCTGACAACGAGTGGCGCTATAGTGCAAAAAACTTACGTTTGTAACGTTCCTCTCAAACAAAAACAAGAAAAATAATAACAGAAAATATTATTACCAGTAATAACATTAATATTATTAATATATTTACTAACAACAACAATAACAACAATATGGTTACCATGGTAACGTAAAGAAGTGTTTGGTTCCAGTAGCTGGGCCAACTTATTTCTTTCAAGTATCTCTCATCACACACACGCACACGAGCACACACACCTCAAGTTTCCACTTCAAACAAGAAACATACAAAAGTGTCTTCATCTTTCAAAGAGTAAACAAAGAAACGAGTCAAAGAACGAGAAGACGGCGGTTCATGAAACATTTGCATAGTTTTGAGATTTGTTTTGTTTGTCAGGCACCTCGTCTCGCCCACGTCCCACCGGTCGAGTGGTGCCCGAACGTCTCATAAATACGACTCATTCCCTCAGTCTGTAACAAAAATATATTAGATAATCTTTTTTATTTTTTATTTTTCTTCTTTTGCTTTGTCAGAAAGTGCCGTTGAGTCCCTTTGTGAGTTCTGCTCAAAGGGTCCAGAGACGAGTTTCCATCCCAGACAGTGACCAGGAGGAGACCACCAGCCCCCCTCGCCGGGGTCAAAGATCCTCCTCACTGGTCCAGTCCAGTTGGATCCATCCGGTCCAGTCTGTGTGTTTATGAGCACCCACAGTCATCCACAATCATGTTCTGGATGTCCTTCTTGATGATCTTCTGCTCCTTGTTGTAGTAGAGCATGGACATGGCCCGTAGCCTGGTGGGCACGCAGCACGACCTTAGGTTCTGGAAGGGGCTGTAGCCCCGCATGCGGTAGTGGCTGATCACTGTGGAGTGGAAGGACAGCATGGAGCCGGTGATGCTCGCCACGTGGGAGGGGCAATCACCCTCACAGTAATTGGCATGGTAACCCGACGGCGCAATGATCCAGTCATTCCAGCCGATGTCTTTGAAGTTGACGTAGAACTGTCTCTTGCAGCAGATGCGTACCTTCCCGTCACACTCCAGACCACGCTTTCTGCGCCGCCTGGAGTCGCTGCCGTCCTCCTGCCGGACCACAGCCATGAGGAAGGGCCGGTGGGACTGCTCCCGCTGGTTGTTGCGCTGCGACGAATTGCCTGAGACCAGGACAAGGGTGGCACCGGAGTCGGCGCAGAGTGGGCAGGACACCCTGAGACTCAGCGTCGAACTCTTTCTGCTCTCCAGCACCGCCTGCACTGCCTTTGACACCGGGAAGGTGTGCCAGCCGCTGCGACGGGTGTCCACGTTCTTCTCCACCAGTAGGACGTCGTCCTGTGGTGAAGACGGGCGTCCGTTTGGGAGGCGGCGCTGCTGGAAGAGGCGGATGGTCACCTTGGCTCGGCTGCGGTTGGTCTTGGCCAGTCGGAGGAAGAGCCAGACGTTAGCTTCATCCACCAGAGACATGTCTCCTCCTTCCTTAGAGAGGACAAAGTTCACCACGCCCTGAGAGTCACCTGAGGGCACAGACAGAGAACGGGGTTAGAACATAAAACTCATGTTGGGTTTATCAAATTAATCTAGCACATTTATGGGGGAACCAAGCTTCAACACCTCAAATCACCTTTACCTGTTCAACCTTTCCTCTTGAACACTTCATCTCTTTGGTCCTTATCTTGATCCCTTTAAATTATCTATTTCCTCACATTTATTTTACTCAGCTCAATGACTCTACTACTATGTCTGCTCTATGTCTGGGGGTCCCCAAGCCTGTCCTGGACCTAACAACGTTAAGTCAGGTCCTCTGGACAGATGCAAAAAATAAACATTGTTGAAACGTCCAGGACGTTTGTCCACTGAGTCTCTGTCGTCCTCTGAGTCTTCAGCTCGACTCACACTCTGAACCTCGGCTCTGGATAAACTCGTAAACTTTGTTGTGGCGCGGACCCTGCTGGTAACCTGCGACACAAAGACTCCTGCTCTCAGAGCACCGCGCAACAAAAAACAACACGTTACACTTCAGTTTTATTGAACCCAAAAGGTTTGGGTTGCTGTGACGACGAGCTACAACAAACACACTCTTTACAACGTGCCAGGAGGACGCACACACACTGATTGGGCTCTTCCTGCTGACTCGGCAGCAGCGGTCGGAGGTTTTGGAGTCGAGCGACGTTTGAAGCAGCTAAACGTTCCCACCAGGAGCTGTGAGATCATTACAGCTACTGCTGGGTCTGAAGACTGGAAGAACAAACTGAAGCTACGTTTTATCTTTCTGCTACTTCATGGTCAAATAAATAAAAGTTCAAACCCCACTTGTTGGAACCGTGCACGTAGGAGAACGACTCCAGAGATGATTTTTCTCAGAGCAGCTGGAATGTCTGTGGTTTGGTTTCAGTAAATCACTGGAGCGATTGTTTAACAAGAACAGCCTGATGCTGCTGAGGCTGAGAAGTTTCTCCATGCTTTCATTCACAGTTTAATGACCTCCAAATTTCATGACCTCCAAACAGAAACGGACACATGCAAGAAAAGGAGTCCAGTCCTGGTCTTGGAGGGCCCATTGCTTCAGATCAGATGTTCTGAATCAGGTAAAGCAGGACAGTGGCCCTGCAGGACTGGACACCCCTGATATGCTGGAGTTAAAACCTGAAACTAGAAACCCAGCAGGTACCAGGAGTGTTCACCTGTTCTTCATCTTGATGTGCAGCTTTGAACCAGGTACAGTCAGATGCTGCGCTGTCGCTGCAGGCACTATCTGTTGTGCTGGATCTACTTTCAGCAGCGGACAAATCTGCATGAACCTCATCAGTGGTGGTCTGACAGTAAAGGATCTCTGAAGTTGTCTTCTATAATTAAACTGACAGGCTGTTTCTTCAGGCTGAGATGTTATTTTAGGAGCTGCAGCACTCAAACAGCTCCTCTTCTTCTTCGTGATCTGGTTTGGATGGACACCTCACGCTCTGATGCTCTGAAGAATGAATGAACAGGATGTTTGCTTTTCATCTTCCTGAGGTGACGATGATGATTAAGTGAGATAATCGCCTCCGAATCATGGCTTAAACGCCACTAATGGACTCTGTAAAGTGCTGCTGTCGCCTCCCACACACACACACACGACCGCCCATTCACACCGTTTAACAGAGCGTCTCTGCTGCCGACATTCATAAACTCCTGAATCGTGACTTTGATTTTCTGTCCGGGTGCCCACGGAGTGAGAGGCATCGCTGAGGACAGGAAACAGAAGGGACTGGGGATGGAAGACACAATTTCAAGGGGAAATGCCTGAAGTTCTCCATATTTCAAACAACCTGATGTTAACTCTTTCTAGTCTTAAAATCTAGAAGTTGTATCAAAGAGCTTCTTGACCTGTAATAAAGGAGTATCAACTCAAAGCGAGATACTTGCCCCTCTTTCCTCTTTTGCATTGACAAAATATTTTAGTTTTACCGATGAGTTTGTCAAAGCACAATGTTGATTTTCTTTTGTAAATACAGAAGTAATGTTTAATAAATGTTAGGACCCTATTCTTTGCTAACAAAATATATTTTGTCATTAAGCAACTTCTCAGGTTCTTGTATTGTGAGCATTCCCCAGGACACCTCCTTTCTTTTCTATGCAGATGACTGTCAAATTACTTCCCCCTGAAGCTCAGTGGTACACGCTCTATTCAACCTCTTCTTGACTGCCTGGCTGACATCAGGGACTGGATGGCTTTAATTTTTTTAACTTTAATGAGAAGAAGACAGAGATCATGTTGATTCCACCTAATGGCACAATCAAGAACCACAGCATCGGCCTTTCCTCTCTAGCCCCATTAGAGAAACAAATAGTCAGAAATCTTGGAGTGATAATGGATCCTTCCATAAAACTAAACAGTCAACATGATTGTTAAATCCTGTTGTTGTTTTTTTCAGTTGAGGTAACTGTCTAAACTGAAGCCCATATTGTCCAAAAATAACCTTGAGGCTGTAAACCATGTGTTCATAACATCCAGGCTCGATTACTGTGATGTGCTTCTGTTTGGTATCAGTCAGACCTTCGTCTACAACTGGTCCAAAATGCTGCAGTCTGATTTTTAACTGGTACAGGCAAAAGAGAGCACATTACACCAGTTCTGGCCTCCTTTCGCTGGCTCCTGGTTCACTTTTGAATTCATTTAAAAATACTTCTGTATTTTTTTTAAATCTCTGAACAGTTCTGCTCCCTCCTATAACTGATCTGCTGCAGCCATATGTACCACCGTGCTCTCTGAGGTCAGACCAGATCAAATGCTTTTATTGGTTCCAGGCACTCGTTTTAAGCTCAGAGGTGATGGGGCTTTCTTGCCTGCAGGTCCAAGACTGTGGAATGAGTTACCACTGTTCGTCAGGCAGGACCCCTCCCTCACTGTTTTTAAGTCTCACTTAAAAACCCACTTTTATTCCCTGGCTTTTGACCCCGTGTGATTTGTTCTTAACCTGTCTGTATCCTACATTGTTAGCCATCTTCCTTTTGGATTCAAACACAACACCACCAGCCTGATCAAGAAAGCTCATCAGAGACTCTACTTCCTCAGGCGGCTGAGATGAACTGGTCTGGAAGCTCAGTCCTCACCTCCTTCTACAGGTGTGCAGTGGAGAGCATCCTGTGCTCCAGCATCAACGTGTGGCATGGAGGCTGCACAGCTGCAGAAAGAAAAGCTTTGCAGAGAGTGGTGAAGGCTGCACAGAAGATGTTGGAGTCAGTCTCCCCACCATCACAGACATCTACACCTCCAGATGCAGGAAGAGGGCCACCTGCATCATGAAGGACCACACTCACCCAGCACACACACTTTTTGCCCCACTCCCCTCAGGAAGGAGGTTGAGGAGCATTAAGTGTAGAACCACTAGACTGAGGAACAGCTTCTACCCTGAGGCTGTTAGACTCATGAATCTCTAACCAGAATAATCACTGTGATGCCGCTTTAATTGGTGATATGTGACATCTGTTTCTGATTATCCATGCTGCTGATCTCATGCTGCTGATCTCATGCTGCTGTATTCATTCATACCATGTGCTCACTACAGACTCATGTTCAGGCTACTGATTAACATACCGTTTTATTCACGTTATTAATGTTTAACGGATATATTAGATCCTTGTATACTCTTTATTTTTATTCTTTATATTTTTGCTATTTTTGGGTGTAACTGGGACCTTGTGTCCACAGTTTCATTCCACCTCATGTACCACATGTGATGAGAATGACAAAGTGCCTTGAAGCTTGATCTATGTTTTTTCTGTTCTTGTTAGTTTCTGCTGTGCGGCACTTTGTTTGGCTTGTTGCTGTTTTAAGTGCTTTCTAAATAAAGTGGGCTGGTATTATCAGATGACACCAAGCTGAGGGTTTTGTCTGAGTGATTCCTCTGTCGTCACGTTTTCCTCTCAGACTGGAGTCGGCTCAGGCAGAATTCTGTTTCTCGTTACCGGCAGATGTTTCATTTCTTTGAAATCTAAAACACCTGAAGCATGGAAACTGTAGTCCGCGTGTTTGAGGCTGGACGGGGCATTCTGGTAAAAGCTCTTTTGTTGCTTCGGTTCTGTGAAACAACTGGGCTACATCTAATCACTGTTTTGTCAACAGCTTCTTTTGTCCAAAGATGCTCCATCAGAAGAGCTGCAGCCAGAAAACATCCCTTTAAAACCCAATTCAACAACATTTCTGCTGAACTACCAGTTTGACAACAGAACTTTGGGTAAAGGACACTAACGGTCCTTAGAGTCCAGCTCTTCCTCTCAACAGATCTGATAACGGACCTTTTCGTGCTCGTCAAACTGAAAGGAGTGAGATTTTAGCGTCTTTTCCTCGTGAACTTCAGCTCTGGGTTTAATTGGAAACAGCTGGGATGAACCTCCTGATCGTCCAGAGCTGAGTGGAATTTAAAAGCTGGTCCAGATGCAGAACCTGAACGCTGCTGCTGCTAAATTATGTCAGATACGAGCTGCTTTGTTGCTCTTCGGAGAGGTTCGAGCCACAGTCAGAACCAGAACTGAAAAACTGGCAAAAAACGTGAATCTCTTCTTGAAGAGGAGAAAGTCCTCGGTGAAGAGCCTGACTTCAGTTTGACCTGAGAGGGAAACGAGTCCAAACGCTGAGGATGAGGAGAAACTCAGACTGAGTGTGAGGAAGAGGAGCGGAGGAGAACCTGGTGGTCCACCAGACCTCCAGTCCCTCAACGAGTCCCAAAACCTCATAAAGCCTGATTTCTGTGCCTGAACGTCACACGGTACCACAGTTCTGTTCTTATCGGACCCAAACAGAACCGTTGAACATGTTCTGGAAAACAACAAAACATTTTTGTGGCTTTCTTCACGTCCATCCATCAGAAAAACATCCTGAAAACTTTGAACATTTCCTGAGGTTTTTCAAAAAGCCATCCGAGACACTAAAGACCCAAACTGAACTGAAGGGACTCAACAGGAACATCAGAACCAAATGACCCATTTATAATAATAATAATAATAATCATTTATTTAAAAAGTGCCGTTCAGGACACCCAAGGACACTTTACAGTAAGAAAATACATAAAAAATATAAAATACATACAGCAGAGTTAAGGATAAGCGAGTCTAAAGAGATGTGTTTTCAGAGCAGTCTTGAATATAGAAAGAGAGGTGGTGTTTCGTAAGTCAGGGGGTAGAGAGTTCCAGAGATGAGGGGCAGAGCAGGTGAAGGCCCTGCTCCCCATGGTGGAGAGGTGGGCAGAGGGTACATGGAGGTATAGTGAAGAGGAGGATCTGAGAGAGCGAGAGGGGATGGAGATGTGTAGGAGGTCAGACAGGTACGGAGGGCCAAGGTTGTGGATAGCTTTGAAAGTGAGAAGAAGAATTTTGAAGACGATGCGTGATTTAACTGGGAACCAGTGGAGCTGCTGCAGGACTGGAGTGATGTGGTTATAGGAGGAGGTTTGAGTGATGACACGGGCAGCTGAGTTCTGGACCAATTGCAGCTTCTGGAGAGATTTGTTGGGGAGGCCATAAAGAAGGGAGTTGCAGTAGTCAATCTGAGAAGTTACAAGACTGTGCACAAGGAAGGCTGTGGAGCGGGGTGTGAGAGAAGGGTGGAGACGGTTAATATTTCTGAGATGGAAATAGGCAGACCGAGTGACGTTGTTGATGTGTGAAGTGAAGGAGAGAGTGGTGTCGAGGATGACACCAAGACTCTTGACCTGAGGCGAGGGGGATAGCAGAGAGTTGTTAAGGGGGATGAGATTTTCTGATTTTGAAAGAGAGTTTTTGGTACCGACAAGATTGATTTCTGTTTTGTTACTGTTTAGTTGTAGGAAGTTGTTAGAAAACCAGTGATTTAGCTCATTGAGACAGTCGGTGAGGATGGAGGGTGGGTGGGGTTTGGTTTTGTTGACAAGTAGAGCTGTGTGTCATCAGCATAACAGTGAAAATGGACACCAAATTTACAGAAGATGTGACCTAGAGGAAGGAGGTAAATGATGAAGAGGAGGGGTCCGAGGACAGAGCCTTGAGGGACACCCGTGGAGACGGGGGAAGACTGGGAACGAAAGGATTTAAGCTGAATGAATTGAGTGCGGTCAGAGAGATATGATTTGAACCAGTCTAACGGAGTACCTGAGATGCCAATGGAGGTTAGTCTGTTGAGGAAGATAGAATGACAGATTGTGTCGAAGGCAGAACTTAGATCCAGTAAAATGAGGATAGACAGAAGAGCAGAGTCAGCAGCAAGAAGAAGGTCATTAGTTATTTTTATTAGAGCTGTTTCGGTGCTATGGTGGGGGCGAAAACCAGATTGAAACTTTTCATAAATGTTATTGTTGGATAGGTGAGAGTGAAGTTGACTAGCAACGGCTTTTCAAGAACCCAACAGTTCATTTAATGACAACTCCTGGACCCGAAGGGCCCAGTAAAGACCATCAGACCTGACATCTGGGTTAATTAAAGTTACACACCCAACACTCTACCCTTACACCCTGAAAGGCTCAGTCTGGACCCAACAACGGATTTAAACGAATTTATAAATAGCACCTTCTCATGAGAAGTCCAAAGAGATTGAGCTGAACACAGCTCCTCAGACTGAAGAAGTCTTTTGGATGAAAGATGAAACATTTCTACATTTTGTTGTTTGAACATCCAGAGGACCAGATTTAACTTTGTTAGATTTTTCCACCTGGATTATTGAGCGTGCATCAGGAATGGATCAAATACTCCTGTTACACATGTGAGGCTACAGTGACGTGCATCACATTCATAATT